GATTTCAGACGTTCGACTTTAAAAGCAGCTGCCTTAAAAACGGTTACATGTGTAAAGTTATCCATCATCATCGAAAATAGCAAACGATCATTTAGGAAAGATATGGTGGAATAAGAAGTTCAGTGAACAATAAAGAAAGTAATTCCCTCATCCCTGGTGAACGCAAATCGAGTTTAATGCGATAATAAAAGGACACCCACAAAAAATTATTTATTTAACACATCTATTTAACGTAAACGGCATGATAACGAAGAACATTCTCGTTGAGCTAGAAACAGATCTGAGAATAAAAAAGAGCCAAGAACAAACAAGAAGAACTGTGCCAGAAATAAACCAATTACAACAGTTGAACAGGGGCAAAATAAAGATAGCAACGATGCGCATAAACAAAAAGTATTGGATTGGGTCAGACAAATAAGTCACCACTGTACGCGAGGGTGTAAATTAAAGGATGTTAATCCGGCAAATTTTTGGACAAACCAGAATAGGTTCTAGCGGAACAAACAGAACATGATGTCCGTTCAAAATCCGAGATTTATGCAAAGCTTGAGGCAAAAAACAAACCAACAATAAATGAGAAATTCATTGGTCCTAACGCAAAAAACTGTTTAAAGATATGGGATAATTATAGAGCCCACAAAAAGGAATAGAAAGTCAACAGAATCTTTTAACAGAGTGGTCTCAATCACCGCAAGATGCTTAAAAAGATGAAAACTTGTGCAGCGTCATCCACATCAAGTGTATGCCTTCCGGCTTAAATAGCGAAAATGTTCATTCACGAATAGCAGTATTCCTGTAGAGTGCTTGAGGACGGACCACAAAAACAGGGTGATCGAAACGTGATTATCTATAGGCAGATTAGGCGCCGTCCGACGAGCTGAAAATTCCTGACGTTTATATTATCCAATGCAGTTGGGAAGTATCTCGAGGCAAACAGTAATATTTCCTGAACAAAACTGCCGCTGAATGAAATTAAACGGACATAGGGATAAGTTGGAAGTCGACAAGGTGCTGCACGAGGATTGTAAAATGAGAATGATCAACATGGTCATGACCTGAATCGACTTTAGGGAGACATCTGATTTAGTACCACATAGTTGGATTCCGGAATGCCGGAGACTTTACAGTTTCAATACTGTCGAATAAAGTTTTTTGAAGCAACGATAAAACAGTGACGAACAACACTGCTATGTAACAGTTCCCCTATAATCATTGAAGATCATATGAGCAATCTTCCAGGATGATTCAATCTTCTCATTTCTATTTTGCCTGGCATAGAATTCGCTCAAGTACTTAACGCCGGAAACGGATATAATTTGAGACGGCAGCGTAATATGACGTCTATTATATATGGACGGCCTGACGATGTGCGCCAGATGGTGGAAGAGCTAAATAATCTGATCCAAAGCAAAGGAATCCATTCGGAAAAGATCGAAATGAAGTTTGGTTTGAATATGCTAATAGGCAGTTCAATTAAATCCTGACTGATTTTTCCTCATGCCCTGTTGACCACCAATTTGAACAGCTTCTAATATATGCTTCTAATATAATACATGCTTTTCTATTTGCTAAACACGGCATTAAATGCCTCCTCAAATCTGTGTGCACTCAATGTTTTGCTCTCAACAGATGTGATTAAAATTTTTGTCACGTAATACATTGCATAAGCGAATTTGAATGGCTCTTCCTTGACCTAACCTCGTAAAGATTCCACCTCTGCTCATTTCAGGAAACTTTTGTTTATCTGGCTGATGAATCATGATGCAAAATTTCACACCTTAGAAAGTCACATCACAGTCTGAGTGTAGGTGC